TTGAATTGTAACATTATCTTCTTGATAATCAAATGGTAATATTGGTGTGCGGCCATACATCATTTCGAATGGAATTTGCTTGGTTGAGGAATGGATCGACGTGTTGTAATTGAACGTGACAAACGGTAATTGATCATCCCAATCTGTTTTTTGTATATTGGATAAAGCTGCAATTTTTGCATCCATTGTTGAATTGTATCTTTCAACTTGACCATTCGATTGAGGATGATATGGTGTTGAATATAAATGTGTTGATCCAATTTGTTTGACTAATTCATTCATAACTGTTGATGTAAAATGAGTGCCGTTGTCGGTTAAGATACATCGAGGTGTACCAAATTTTGAAATGACGTCGTCTTTAAGAAATTTAACAGCTGTTTGTGCAGTATTATCACGTACTGCTTTTGTTACCACAAATTTTGATAAAATATCTGTAAGACATATTATATATTTATTGCCGCGACGAGATGTGGGATTGATAGGGCCATGAAAATCCATAGCTACTAGTTGCCATACACCTTCTGGAGGTTTAATTGGTCGTAATTTACCAGGAGCTTTTCTCCGACGAGGATTATATTGAGCACAAGTAATACATGATTTAATATAATTATTGATATCCTTGTACATCGAAGGCCAAAAATAACGTTGTTTAATTTTATGTATTGTTTTATCTCTTCCGAAATGAGCACCATTGGCTGCAGTATCATGGTAAATTTGTAAAATTGTTTTTCGAAAATCACCTTGTGGTACATAAGGAACTGACGGTTTTGATCGACGCATTAAAAGATTATCTTTGATCATATAATTTTTATATTTCTTGATATTGTTCAGAATATTTTTTGCATAATTATCATTTTGTTGAGCTTGAATTAATTCTTCAATGGAAAATGAAATTATTCGATTCTCTTTCATTGAATTATTCAATGTTTGATTGGCGGATGAAGAAGTTAGAGAATCTTGTGCTGATTTTGTGCCATCGTTCGGATCATTTAAAGTTTGATGTCGTAATTTCAGCGCACGAGTTTGAACAGCTGCGACGATAGGTGAATGATTTTTTGTATCTGAGAAATCGGTTTGTGTGGATGTCGAAATAAGAAGTGAAACTTCATCAGGATCTTCTTCAGCATCATCGACTGGAGACCTTGATAAATAATCAGGCATCGAGGTAGTTGAACCTGGGATATATTTCACCTTGAAGTCATATTCTAAGATTTTTAATCTCCATCTTTCACATCGTTTATTAAGTTGTGCTTTTTGATTTAGTTGTGTTAATGCCTTATGATCAGTTTTCCAAGTGAATTTAATTCCACTTAAGTAATTATGCCATTTGTCTAAAGCACAAATAAAAGCATAACATTCTTGTTCCATAGGAGACCATTTACGTTGTGCTTGAGTAAATTTCTTAGAAAGATAAGCTACAGGTCTATCTCCATCAGGATAAGTTTGTAATAAAACAGCACCGATTCCCTCATCAGAAGCATCTGTTTGAACTTTAAAAGGGAATCTATTATTTGGTAGACGTAAAACTAAATCAGTTGTAAGAAAATGTTTGAGTTGTTCAAATGCTTTAATTTCTTCATCTGTTAATTTAATTAACGTTTTTTGTCCTTTTTTCTGTTGCGTTCTGGTAGTTGGTACAAATTTCCTAAGTGGTTCGGCAATTTGTGAAAAATTTGGTATGAATTTTCTATAATATTCTGCTGCTTTAACAAATTTACAAGCTTCATCTGCTGTGTGTGGTAAATTTGTATTTAATAAACCTTGTATATTGTGTGGACTTGGATGAATTTCACCATTTTGGATATGATGCCCAAGATATTCTGTTTGCGTACGAGCAATTTCGCATTTATCTGGATTGAGACGAAAACGAGCGTTTTTTAATATTTGACAAATTTCCTTGAGATGAGACAAATGTTCTTCGAATGTCTTGGAGTAAATAATTACATCATCAATATATGCTAATGCATATTTCCATCGTGCAGGGCCTAATATGTGATTAATAACACGTTGAAATGTAGCTGGACCATTTGTTATTCCTTGTGGAAGAACTGTAAATTGATAATGATTGTCTCGGGTTGAGAAGGCAGTTTTTGGTCGGTCCTCTTTCGATAGAGGAACCTGGAAATATCCTCATTTAAAATCAAATTTTGTGTAATACGTTGCATCAGATAATTGATCGAATATTTCATCAATTCGTGGAAGTGGAAATGCATCTTTAATCGTGATGGCATTTAATCGACGATAATCAATGCAAAATCGCATGGTTTTGTCTTTCTTCTTGACGAGAACGATAGGTGATGACCATGGAGATGTTGATTCTTCAATTTGACCACGTTCTAATAATTTCTGTGTTTCTTGAAATTTAATTTCTTGATCTTTATACGAAGCTGAATATTGTTTCGAATAAATAGGTGGATGATCACCAGTTCTAATTGCCGATTGCGGTGGAATATTAATAATTGATGGTGTCGGATCAAATAATATTTTATTTCGCCATAATATATCTTGAATTGCTTCTCGATATTTTGGATTTCCTATATGAGCAGTCGATTCGATTATTTGTTTTCGAATCTGATCTGAATAACATTGTGCACGTAAATGTTTTTGTAAGTCATTTCCAGATAGAAAATATTCATTACATTGATGACAACGATTATCTCGGAGAGTTTGATTCGAGTTATCTTTATCATATGAGATAGCTCTTATTTTAGGAATTTTGTGTTTTCGGGATGATTGAAAATTCGACGGTGGTTCCGGTTTTGTCGAGTTTTGTATTGTAGTACATATGGACAATGTTGTGTCATATGATAGAGTTCCGATGCGTGTATTCTTTGGTAATGTTTGTTGACGATTTTGAGCATTTATTAATAAAATTTTTGCTTGATGATTATTAACATTTAATAATGTATGCGGTATAAAAATAAATTTTGAGATATAGCGATCATATGGTTCAAATATTAAATTGTTGGCATTAGTAACTTGAGAAGTAATGTCAACCAGTGTTTGTGAATGTGGAGGAAGGGTAATTTGATTAACTAATAGAGCGGGATAATTGATGGAAGACGGTTCGGTGTATGGAATTCGAGTTAATTGACCATGTTGATCAGGAATTGTTAAGTGTTTCTGGTCGCCAAAGAGGTGAACATGATTAAGATTAATCCAGTCATTGCCTAAAAGAATTGGTGTAATTAAATTTGTTGCGACATAAGCAATGACATAAGTTTTAATATATTTAATTTTAATTTCCAATTCAATTTGACCAATAATATCAAGAGGAGTTGAATTTGCTGTTTGACACGTGTGGGTTTTGTAAATGAACTTGTTGTGATGAATAGTTTTGAGGAAATTTAAATGAATAATGGAGATGGCGGATCCTGTATCAACAATTGCCTCGGTTGGTTTATTATTAACATGAATTTCGATGTAGATTGGGGATAAGGATATTGTTGATGGCTTATTAAATTTGCTGGGAGCACCGCCATCCTGTGACCCAGCTATTGAAAATGTGGAGGTAATGTACAATCACGAATGTTGTGATTTTGACCACAATTAAAACATCCGGTTGTACGTTTATAATAACAATCAATTGTCCGATGATTCTTGCGATCACAAACTTTACAATTACTAAATTGATCTTGTGGTGTTGATCGATTATTGGTTTGTTTCTTATTTGATGTTGTTTGTGATGGATAATTTCGGATTTGTTTGTTGTTGTGTGTCATTGATGTTCGATTTTCTACTGTTGGGGTCGAGTTCCATTGAGAGATGGATCTCTGTAATTGTGCTGTGTGTGAATTGGAATTATTGTAATCCGTTTTGTGGTAATTCTGTTTCGATTGATTAAGTACAGCAGTCAGTGATGGACGATTGAAATTAGTATAGGGTTGTTGTGAATCGATTGATAAATTACGAAATGTATCATGTAAATCTTGTTCGATTTTTGCGTATTTTAAAAATTCATTCAATGTATTGATAGATGATTCACGTCTGGATAACTCCTTCCTAAAATCGGGATTAATTCCACTCATTAAATGTTGAATTATAATTTTTTCTGACATATTTGGATCAATTTCCTGGCATAAATTAATAATGTCATCGAAATAAGACGTAATCGGTTCATCCAGTAATTGTTTACGTTGTTTTAATGTATCAAATTTCTTGTGAGTTGATGTTGTAGAAAAATATCGATTTCGAAATGCAGCTTCGAAATCTGACCATTTTTTGAAGTTAGGTTCATTATTATCGAACCATATTCCTGCTGATCGAATTAATTTACCAC